CCGGGATGATGATTTCCACTCCTATGACGATCTCCAAGTTCGATTCGATGAAACCAGCTCCAAGATAGCTTCTAGGATGTGTTCTTCGTACTTTCTCTCTCTAGGGCTCTGTTTTTGCTCTCAAAATCCGATTCCCCCACTTTTGGCTCGAAATTGGCTCAAAAGCCAGAATTTCCCGACTCACACGGGCAGGCCACACGGTAGGGGTGGGCATTCGGTCGGTTCGGTTCAAACCGAACCGAACAGACAAATACCGACTCCCCGAAGTAGCTCACAGCACAAACCGAATTCGAACCAAAATATATTTCGGTTCGGTTCATCCGAACAGAGATATATTTCGGTTCGATTCAGTTTTCGAGGCCATACCCGAAGTTCCAGAAAGTAACTCCCACCCTACCTTTTTCTTTTCACGGGAAGCACTCTTTCCCATTTGGATTATTTTGGAACTCCTCTTTGTCAATACTCACCAGCTTTATGTCAGCTCCACCAAATGCTTTATCCATATACTTTATTGCGAATTCCACAATGTCGATGATGTGCTTGTCTTGGAGGTTTGGTATTGGCTGCCATTCGCTATTCATCCTAGCTGATGATGTTGTTCCTATAAAGAGGAGGAAGAAGACGAGAGAACAAACACAAAATATCCGCTTCATATTTTCTTTTGATATATGCTCAAATTGTTTTTTTGTGTGTAATTAGAATTTCAGTATACATAAGTATTTATAGTTGATTCAATGAAAAGATAAACATCAAGATTGTTGTTGGAAAAAAATACTTTTACTACATTTCCATTTTGGCAAATCAATTAAAGAAAAATATTTATTGCTTTATAAAAATTTACTTATTACTTATAATATTACTAAATTATCCGCATTTGCTATAATAATATATTTTACATTTAAGAAATTTCCATTTTATCTGGACCAAATTTTATCTCATTTAATCCGAGCCTTATTTTCTTATGCAAAGTCGAGACTTGTTTTAAATGTGAGAAATTTTAAAATACGTTGTAGAATCTGCATTTTGGATAACCTGAAATTATATATGGTACAAATTCAGTTTGTATATATATCTTTTCAGACAAATATATTTGTGGTATAAATTGAATTGGTACATTTAACGTTATGGTAAAATTTTAGTTTATACCTATAACTTTTCTTACAAATTTCTTTGTGGTAGAACTGAATTGGTACCTTTAACATTATGGTGCATATTCCGTTTAATTTGTACTAATGTCATTTTTTTAGTAGAAATTATTTTATGCTACAAACTGAATGTGTACTTTAATCTTAAGGTGCAAATTGAATTTGTACCATAATAGAAAGGTACAAATTTTTGTGTGGTACAAACTGAACTATTACCTTTAACTTTATAGTACAATTTTAATTTATACTTTGAAACATCAATAATTTAGACTATAGTAGAAGTCCTCTTTAGATGTACCATAAATACCTATGTGTATAAAATGTGAAAAAGTTAAAATTTTAGATTAATGTGAATGAAAACAAGACTGTAAATTGTGAGGCTTATGTGCAAGGGTTTTGCTTGGCACTAGCTCATAAGAGGTGCAATTATGCCTCTATTGGAAATTTTTTATCTTCCATTTATATTCTTAGGTGTATGTGTGTCTGAGGAGTCATTTGAATTGATTGTTTGGGGGTGTTATTTGGGCTCAAATAACAAAAAATGTTTGGATGGAAAAAACAAGAGTGTGTTATTTGGATGTGGTGTTTGCAAAATAACACAAATATGTTGTTTGTCAACTAGTTGGAGGGGGTCAAGTATTTTTCAAATAACACAAACACGTTATTTGATGCCAAATATCACATATCAAATAACAAGTATTCTGTTATGTGATATTTGTGTGGTAATTGATACCAAATATCAAGGTTTCCAACTCATCAATCCAAATGACCACTAAATATTTGGCCTAGATATTGTAAGCATCAAAGAATTTGTTCAACCATGTTGTGGCAACAGGTTAACATAGAGGATTTAATTATCATAGTAGTGTTGGAAGAAGTAAGACTTTCAAATTCATTCTCCATGTGACATATAACTGAGCAAGCTTTATAGTTGAACTTTCTGGCTGTAATAGAATACCAATTCGAATTTATCCCATTACTGACCACATTAATAGGTGAGTTCCTAGTTGGTAGAGGATGGTCACATCGTCCACCAACCAGGACTCATGTCAACTAAGTAAGCTAAAAGAAGTCACATACAATCAAGTTATAACCTAAAATTACCCAAGATACAAACATGATATCCATGCATTCTTCCATAACTGATCTAGGTTAAACATGACATACATGCATTCATCCATCTCAAGCTAAAAAAGAAGCATTAGAAACTCTAGATTAACCCAAATTAACCATAAATTAACTATACCCATTCAATTACACATAGTACCCTAATTAAGATTTGGGGGACAAAGCCCCAAGTATCTTAGGCTACTACCCTATGGCATTGCGAAGGAGAGCCGCAGAAATAAAGGAAGAAAATATGAATACGAGCTCCTTCTTGTGCAGAGAAACTTCTCCTTCAGCTCCTCCTTTCCCTTTTCTACTCTTCCTCTCTAACGCAACAAATTATCTCTATAGTTCCTCTCCCTATGGTGTTGCAACTTCCCAGTCATCAAAATAAGGGGAGCAACCCTCTATTTGTAGATATCCGGAGGACCATGCAAGTTTGCGGTCGAAGTTCAGGAGATCGCGGCTGTGACCTTTGGCATCAGGCCACGAAGTTGAAAGGACGACGTGCTCGGCTGGTCGGATGGAGAGATCACGGATGGTTGAGGTCATTCTATGTCGTTACTAAAACTCTTGAAGCACTTAAGGGTTTTTCCTTAAGCGTTCACCTCGAAGAAAAACAATTGTGGAAATGTTGTTGTTTCCACCCTTTAACATTAATACTCAAAATGTGGGAGTTATTTTTATTTGACACCCTAAAAAAAACTTTTGTTTTGTTGCCAAGTAACTTGCATCTTTTATCTTATAAGGGGCCCCTACCTTGGTTTAATTGGCGCAAATACTAGCATTTCTTACTAACAATGGGTACCCTCACAATGGGGAGTCTCAACTTGAGCTTTGAATTCCGCGTTACGTATCGCCGTTCTGAATCAATACTGAAGTATGATCACCGAGTTAGGTATCGTCGTTCGGTTGGATACTTAACATGGGACATGAAAATACTCTTATAGAAGTCCACATGCTACTACTTCATGATTTACTCTGCCAAGCAAAGCATTATAGAAGTCAGCAACTACGTACAATGCACATCTCCTCAACCTTGGTAACTCTATTCCCCGAGCATCAAGCAGAGAGGTGATAGTGCTCCTTTTCTGCCTTGATCTCACTGGTATATGAAAGTAGCACGAGTTCTCACTTCTTTAAGCAGTGCTCTCTTGATTTCAACCTTAAAAATTTTCTTCTGCCTTTCATGAGCTGAAATAGCTCATTTGATACATTCCTTTCTAGCTCATAATTTAAGAGGCATGCTATTTGCCGCCAACTTCTTTACTATTTGCCGCCAACTTTAAAAATTTTATTTTTATTTAAAATTCACTTTCACAAATGAATTGTGTTTAGTGTCTAAACCAAGAAATTATTATTTTTCTTAGTGTCTAAACTGAGAATTGAATTTTGTTTGGAGCTTAATTTTGAAAATGGATTATGTTTAGTGTTTAAATTTAGGGATTTAGTGTTTAAATTTATAAATAAATTATGCTTAATAACTGTAATTCTTACATTGTGATTATTAATAGTTTAATTTAGAAATAGATAAGGTTTATCATTTATATTTAGAAATAAATTATGTATAATGTTTAAATTTAGAAATGATTATGTTTATTGTTTAAATTTAGAAGTAAATTTTGTTTAATTGACGAATAAGAAAATTCAACAGGAAGAAGAACCAACTCGACCGGTAGTAACAAATTCAACAACAAAAAGATGAACATGCATCTATTTCCCGTCCCAAACCCTAAACCCTTTTCCTCAACCACCAACGTTCTACCTCGATCCATCCGATCCTCTTACGACGTCATCTTAGAGACCAAATCGTTCAAACTTCCAGTAACAACAATTGTTTGCATCATTGAAATACTCATGCCGGGAAATCGGAAACATGCCGGAAAATTAGGGAAAAACGATGGGAATTAAGGCCAGTATCTTTCTGAAGTGGTCGGCGGCGAGTGACAGTTGCCGGCGATGATGCCTGCGGTGGTCGACGGGTGATAGTTAGATGTTGTTTTTTATTTTTGATTTTTTGTAAAAAAAAAGTTGGCGGCAATTAGTAATTTTGTTGGCGGCAAATAGAAACTTATGGATCGAGTGATGTTGAATTCAACTCGGCTCTACCTCTTTCTCTTCACCATATATACCACTTATATCCGATTATTCTTCTTTGTTAAGCTTCTTCAGTAAACGTGTTGGGTTCCGAATAGAGTTGAAATCGCCCATTTATAATTTAAGGCATATGCACCACCATCAAATTCTATTTTGGATTTGGTTTTTTTTCCCTCTTCAATTATAATTTGAAAACATAGATAAGAACATTAAATATAGTTGCTAGCTAGCTAGCTAGGATTAGGGGTTCAGCTTGATCTTTGTATATATGATTATATATGTGCACGTAACTATGCAAGGAGTATAGCAATTGAAGGTAATATATATATATATATATATATATATATATACTCGAGTCATCATGTGGTTTTGTCACTATATAAAAGCTTTGCTTCCATGGAGAATGTTTCTACTACATATATATATATATATATATGTAGTAGAAACATTCTCCATGGAAGCAAAGCTTTTATATAGTGACAAAACCACATGATGACTCGAGTCCCATTTCTCTATGTTATATATCGTCCATAAGTCTGATCATTTAACAGAACTAATGGACGTTATTGTTTATTCATGCCTATGGCATATAAGCCTACTACGTACGTACAATATAATCATCAGCAAATGAAGAAGTTGTTTCCGAAAACATTAACTATTAACTTTGTGACAAGCCTTCCTGATCTCACCATTGGGCCCCGTTTTGGGCTGGATGTTTGTCATCCTGACCATGGCAGCAGCAAAATCTTTGCCAAAAGAGGACTTTCCAATTCCATATCCCCCAGCGTACGACTGCAGGAACCGCTTGGTGGTTCCATCCTCCACCAGCTGAGCGTCGGAGGCCAAGACTGCGAAGCCGTTGAGGATGTTGCGCAGAATATGATCATCAAACTGGAATTGCGAGGACCAGTCGAGATGCAGCCTTTGAAAGCTAGAGCCGCCCAAGGGGCATATTAATTTGAGGCGCTGCAGGAACTTGGGATTGATGCTAGGGTCGGTGTCGTTGTGGCCATTGAAGTTATATAGACGCTGCGGCATGAAGAAGCAAGCCGATGTGCCGATGGTGTGGGCACCTGAAGAAACAAATCACAATAATAATAATAAACTAATTTCGGAAACTAATTAATTTCCGCGTAAGTATTATTAATTAATTATATATTTACCGGCGGTGAGGAGGACGAGATCCTTGGTGGACAATCCCTTGGCATGAAATTTCGATTTTAGAACCTCAATTGGGTCGTTGACATCTGGCAGATCGTTTGCCAGGGTAAGGCTGGAGATCCGGCCATCCCTTCTTCCGGTCGGCACGCCAAAACTTGGTCCATGGCTCTGCAGGCAGCACATGCCATTCAAATGATTTTATTCATTCACTACATAATTAGGAAGAATAGGGAACAAAACAGCCATTATAATTTGTCTTAGAACATGCACATGATTTTAAGTGGTATAAGGGCATAAAATAAGAAAACAATTTTGGGGTAATTTTAAATTTTGTTTTGTCCCCGAAACAAAACTTTTGGAACAAGTAGAAAGATCGACGTCGATTTGCTATGTGTGGCTTTTCATTTATTTATGTTTTTTTTTATAGTGAAAGAAAGAGTGATTTCCCCATTGGGGAACATGTTTTTAACTTTTAATACTTATATAGTATTCTCTCAATTCTTGTCTTTTAATTTATACCAAGAAGTCTCTTGTCACAAGCTGATCATATATGAAGACCAATAAAATATGTCCTTCAATTTTTAAATTAATAATTTTACTAAAATATGATTTCTAGTACATACCAAAACCACAGCGTCGCGAGCTGCTATGGCCACTATGTCGGCGCATGATACAACTCCTGGACATGATTGCTCCAGCCTTGTTTTTGCTTGTTCTATCACCTCGAATCCTGCAAGCCCCGCATTTCCAAAAGCTAGTCGCTAGCCCCCACCGGCTCCGGAGTCCAGCAAAACGGAACCATCGCAACCCTGGCAGTAAGTTGGAACAATAACCAAATGAATTTTTTTTTTTCTTAATTTTCAAATGTTTGTAAATGCATGGTCTATAACTCATCTACGTACGTACCTCAACGAAGCAGTCGTGGAACGCAAGCCTCAGCAAGCGGGCTGCATTCGACTTATCTACTGCAACAGCTTCTTCAACCGTTGCTTTGATGGTGGATTCGGCCGCCGGGCAGCTGCTGGAGTAATATCCCAACTGCAGCTGCCAATTGATGGAGGCCGCGGTCTCCGTCACAAGTATCATGATGAGAAAGAGGATGCAGAGAATGGTTACTGGAGCGGCGGCCATTTATGCTTGCTTGATCAGTGTGCCTGAAGATACTGGAGTAGTTTGTAGTAGAGAATTGTTCAAAAGAGAGAATAATCAATCTGCGAATTGTATTCTAGAGTGAGAAACGTAGTTCGTTACAAATACAATGGGGGCCGGGCTCTGCTCCTTTATACCCAAAGGGGGATTATATATATTAACTCAAGTGAGAGGAAACGTGGGAAAGTCTCTTACCAATCCTAACCTAATTGATTAGTGAAATTACATTTACATACTACTAATCAGTGTTATTTAGTAGATGAGGTGTCATAAAATGCTTTGTTAGATGATGTGAGGAAAGTCTATTACCATTCAAATGATATTATTGATGTTTTTGTGTATAAATCGATCGAGGTCAATTTTGGACTCTTAACAGCAGTAAATATATGCAGTACTCAATGGCTGAGCCATTAGGGAGCAAGGTAGATCATTTGCACAATTGTGTATCCTCGATATGATTTAAGAATGTGATCGTTTGTATTTTGCTTGGATTTGGAATCGAGTACAAAACCTCATTTTCATATCTTAAGATTCTCCATCAGAACACACTCTATTCAAAATTTTCAGCATTATGAGAGTTTGTAGGAAGGACATTCATACAAATACTCTATCCAAACGATACAATTGTTATTGAAATTCCCAATATCGACGGCCTAATGACTAGCTTAACCACTAACTAGTCTCAGCCTCCCCACTGGTTGTTTATACTTTAGACTAATCAAACAAAACAAGTTGGTAAAAAGAGTTATCATGTTGATGAGGCAGCAGGCACTTTTACATTTCTTTGATAGATACAAAAGAGTTTGTTTCATCGGTTCTTAAATAATTAAAGCTAAAAGACACCAGCACTCTTTGAAGTAGCAGTTACCTCCCTAATACAACAAGTCAACAACTGACCCTTTTTCTTCACAAAATCTAACAAACAATATTTACCTTTTAAAATCCTCATCCATGCATAATTACGTCTGGTTCGATAATTGCTTTATGATGAATAATGATTTCAAGATAACTATAACTCACTAGACAGTCGGTATACTTCTTAATCAAAACACCTCCCACTTATCACTAAACTCCCCATGGATTACATGTCGTCATGGAAGTCACATGTCATTCTTGAATTATTTTTCCTTCTGGCTATCATTATTTTTCTTTCATTGTCGATTACCTCAATCCGTCCATGACAAGTGGTATAATTAGAGCCGCTGGTTGGCTTCAGTTTTTGGACTTTCGAAATGCAAACTTCAGTTAATATGAAGATCAAAAAGTTCACAGGGAAGAACATGGCAGACCAACATGCAGGACCTACTGAAACATCAATGCCTATGGGGAAGAACATGGCAGACCAAGATGCAGGACCTACTAAAACATCAATGCCTATGGGGACTCGATGACGAACTAATATGATCCCAAATGGTCAGTTATACACGTTTAATTTACTTGACGAAGAAGCTATCGAAGTTGGGAAGAAGAAGGACAGAATTTGGCTAAGTCAAAATTCGTGTTCAGTGTACCTACTTTGAAAGCATGCATCTCACAAATGGCTCAATGAAAATTGGAGATCAAGGTCTTGTTTTAAAGATAAAGTTGCCATATTTCCAATCGTATACTTTTTGGATCCAGAAGATGCCATTAACGTTGTTTTCCAATGCCTCAAAGTTGCTACCTAAAAACTCGAAAACTGCTAGAAAATGGTTAAGTCTGGAAACGTGTTTGTGAAGCCCACACAGAAGATGTCAATTCGAGGAGCATGGAGTTTATTCGAGTCCAGAGGCTTCCAAAACATGAAAATAGGTATATTTATCTACAAAGATAAGGAATTGGATGAAAGATCGGAGTTCTGGAAGGCCTCGAACGAAAGGCGTGAAGTTTCTACGAAAACTGCTTTTGGACTGTTTGCTGGCAGCTTACTTGTGCTTCAAGAAAGGAAGTTTAAACCCGAATTTTGATTCTTTGTTAGAGTAGATTTTTACCTTAATTGTTTCCTAGCTCTATTAGGTTTGTATTAGGTTTATTTGCCTTTAAATACCTTTCTAGTTTTCGTTGTAAAGCACAGAAGATTATTGTTGAATGAAAATTGCTCCTACGTGAGTGTTTTGAGTTCTTGAGTGTGTCTCGAGAAGTTACCTATTGTCTTTAGCTTCGAGTAGATTTCTTAGCTAATTTCAAGACCTTTGTTCAAGATAATCTGTGGAGGATTCCAGCATCGTTTAGCAAGTTCTCTTATCAATCGAGTAATCACCTTGATTGTGGCGAGAATTTTACCTTTCCATCATTATCGTTGGATTGTTTGTGTTAGCTGTGTATTCTGATCAAAAGCACCCACTGGTGCCTTATCAAGTGGCATCAGAGCCTTAGGTTAAAGTCAGTGGCGAGAAGGTTTGATCAAGGCTGTGTTCGTCGAATTCAGTCGCAAAAATCATAGGAAAGCAGAGTACCAATGGCGGCAGCAGAGTTAGCAAATTCCATGGTCTTCACGCGTTGTTTAATCGAGGAGTAGCTGTGTTTGGTTCTGGTTGATGGAGGCAGGGAGAGGAATTTGATTTCCTCTAGGGTTTTGAGCAAGCTTGGGCTGCAAACGCAGCCGCATCCAAAACCATACACGTTTCAGTCGCAGTACGAAGAACGTTCCAATTTAGTATTTTCCCAGCTGGCTGTGAAGTTTTCAATCGGACAATATGAGGATCAAATTACATGTGACGTGGTCTACAATCTCCCTCGCAGCATTGTCTTGGGACATTCGTGGTTCAGAGATCGTCAAGTTCACTTTGTTAGCCGACGAAGCAAGAAGTTTCGACTGTGGAGCATTAATTTAGACTTACTAGATCTTTCTCCGACCAACTCTCGATGTCATTCTCAACTCTCTCTAGTCCTTATTTAATATTCATTCAGACCTTCATGTCATAGGATTGTAGGAAGTCCTCCATATAACCTTTCGAGAAGGCAGAACTGTTGGAGTCGAGTTTTGGAGGTCTTGTTTCATACTGTCCTTCAGCTTTTGTGATTGGGGACAAGTGATTCATCATTCTCGATGACGAGCTTGTAGCTTCTATCCTTGGATTTTTTTCCACGTTACAGACCTACTCTGATACCAATTTTAGAACACGTGTTGCAGACAAATAATATCCTAAATTAAGATAAATTAACATGAAAAGAAGGGAACAAGTAGTTTAGGCTTAGTCCATGTGTTCATGAGAAGGGATTTGCTACTTATCGAGTGGTCTTCAACCTTCAAGAGAATGTTCTTGTTAAGAAGCAATTGCAAAATAGAGAAGAGCAAGGAAAGAGACACATGTACACATGATGTTTTGTTGACCGAGTTCTGCTTATTGCTTTGCGTATCGGCTCAAAGATGGCTTAACCTTTGAGACCTAATGTCTCTGATTTTATCTTATTCCAATCTAACTCCCGGTTGAGGCTCTTTGGGTAGAACTCAGACCCTTTAGACTAGTAGAGCAATATACCCCTTTCCCTCTTCCTTACAAGCACTCATGTTAAAGAGAGAAAATACACAACCTCACAATCACTCAAGCAACACAGATAGCGAACTCTTATCACTTCTGACGCCTATTGCTAATCACAGAGTATTTGATCTTGCTTTGTGTAGGATTATTCTGTCATATTCTGTGAGTCTTGTCTTGTTGCTTCCTTCTATTTATAGTTCCTTGATATCATTGTATTCTCTTGATCTTAAATTGATTTAGAGGTCATTCGGATCGAGAAATGTGGGTGCATATTTGACCCAAATTCTTGTATGTCCGGGAATTTAAACCATTCCTCCATTTGGATAAATCTAGAAAAGGGAGTGATTTGGGCATAAGGATTTTGAAATTCGGCCCAGCTCAGAATTAGAATTAGCTGACAACCCCAAATATTTTAAAATCCGGCCACAATATTTTGGTTTCTTCCTTGCGTGTCCCTGTGTGGCTGTGCAGCGTGCCTAGATCCAATATCGGCGGAGTTAGACGTGAGAGGGAAGGGGATTATAGAAGATGACCAACGACGGGAGCTCTCAGACCACCACCACATCCTCCTCCACCGCTGCCCCTAACTCATCTCCTTTCTCCTCTTCCTTCGCCAAACTCTGTTTTTCTTCCCCTACGTCGTCAGCAAATAATCAGACTGGACCCCAAAGTATAGTGAACAACACCCAATCAATCAAGCGGCAAGACAGGGGGAGCCTCGATTGGACCCTAATTGAGCGGCCACTTCCTAGTTTATCAGTGAGGACGCTATGGAGTGCGAGGACAACGGAGACTGACGTGTAAGTCGGAGGCTTGGGATGACCGCTTCTTTCTTTATTTCCTCCTTCTTCCACTGTTGCTTGTGTATTGTTGTGTGGAAGGAAAATTAATGGGGGGATTAGTAACATGGGGAAATGGGGGATAGATATAACACCATTTTAGGTGTTATCAAAAGTTCATGTCCACTCAATCATAAGTGCTTTTATCCTATAATCCACCCAATATGAACACAAATGCATTGATATCACAAATGCAATACCATAGTAAGATAGATTCTAACTTTATATCGTCTTGGAAACCTCTAGGGTTCGACAACCTACACAACTAATGAACTAGCAGCTCACAAAGATAGAAACTAAAAAGTATTGATGACGCATATATTAATTATTTTTTACCCCTGCTTTATGGCATATTTTACATAGTTTTCGTATGATGATTGCCAAAATGCCTTTAAATTGCTTGATAATTGCTCTTAAGTGTGTTAAACGAATTGCATGATTAGTTTTATTCTTTTGATTCCCTTTCGGTAGCTTTTCATGTGTGTTTCATGTCATAGAATCCTATTTTACCCCTTGTCCGAGCTCGAAATGTCAAGATACAACGAAACACCTGATAACTTCCCAGGAACCAATGGTATCTCGTGATATCTCACAGGGAATTTACCAAGTTTATATCCATATCCATTCACCCTGAAAAACATTTCATCTCTATTTAAACCACAAAGAAAAGTCACACTTACCG